TTAGACAAAAAAAGAACCTAAAGGGGGGTTTTTTTTTTTATTTTTGGGGGGGGGGGGGTGGGTGTGCCTTTTTTATTAATAAACCCCAGTTATAAAAGTTTTCCGTTGGGTTTTTGAATTTTTTCGTTTTTTTTGCTGTTTTTGTTCTAATTTTAACTTCAATGAAAACCAGGTTTGAATGTTTTTTTCTTTTTTTGTGGGGTTTTTATTTTTTTTTTTTGAATAAAAACCAGTTATAAAAGTTTAATTTCCGTTTTTTGTGGGCGTTCTTCGCCCTTTGGGGGAAACCCGGGCGGAAAATCCCCTTAAAAAACCCTTCAAATTTGAACCAAAAAAACCATTTCCCGAAGAACGGGGAACTTCATGGCCACTTAAAAGGGTTACACCCCCACCCCCCCCCAAAAAAAAATTAGAAAACTTTTTTGGGGGGGGGGGGGGGGGGGGGCGTACTCATGTCCAGCATGCCTTTTGCGGTTAGACCATTGACCACGCGTCCTCGAGAGAACGGGGCATTGTTCCCACAGGACCGATCGATCACCGATGGCCAATCGTTCCTTGCCAACAGTGGCTCAAAGTGTTTCCCTGTCTATCCTGTCGGTATTACCTGTCTATCCTATCGATATCGCATATCTATCCTATCGATATCACCTATCTATGCTGTCGATATCACTTGTCCATCCCATCGATATCAGTTCCGCCGGGCGGGGTGGTACAATCTAGTTAAGGTCCCGGAACGGCACCAATCACTTGCTAGTGGTCCTGCCGAAAGCGTTGTGTCCCGCAGAGGTCGAACGAACGTGTGGTCTCTGTGAGGCAGTTGGTCCTCGTCGAAGAATAGTACCCACACGTGTTGCGGTCTTTCGCTCTCTAACAAACCCTGGCGGGCGATCCCTACTCTCAGGTTGACGTTAGGATGACGAGCCTACAGCTCCTTTTCGGTGGGCCACGTTGAAATGGATCTACAACATAGTGTACAACGAAAAGGATGTTTTTCGAAGTCCCAAATATTGGTGACCTTCTTTGTACATTGACCAACCTGTGCCCCCCTATCGCTCCAGTGCGGGCATTGTGGGGATGCGAGGACTATGGTAACGAAAGACTACGGCATGTCTTGACATGAGTACATCCCCAAACCTCCTGTGTGGCACCGCCCCCCGAAACGCTGTTTTTGCTCCTGCATCCACAGGCCGATCCGCCTACCCTCGCGGGTACCATAGACCCCCAAGTGATCTTCCGCATGGGGGACGACACCAGGAGTTGCATGGGGATTCGGCGTTCCTGTTCCGCGCAAAATCGTGCTCTCATGGGGTGAGGAATCAGATCCTCTCTCCGCGTTGAAGTCCTGTGTTAACGTTGTGGTTGGTGTTTCACGCTCTGTTCGTCATCGATTTTCTTGGCTCCTCTCGTGGACTTGGGTCCCCTTTCTTCTACCCCATTTGGGGCGAACCTCCCGTTTACATTTTGTGTGCTGCCATGAATTCCAAGGCGCAAGTGCGACAACATTGGTCTCAGACATTTGGCGAAAGGCTCAGGATGACGAACAGTCAACGCTGTGGCTGGCTGCTCAGCTTTGTTTGGTCTGCATGAACACCGGCAGAACATTGCCCACGATACACAAGCCGTCGCGCTTTCAGCGGCGCACAGGCGGGGAATGTACCCCCACTGACGTTTCCCGCCGTGCTCCGCCATGCTGTCCCCCCCTTTCGCTGTCGTTTTCTTCCTCGTGTGCAGCTACCTCCTGCAGGGGAACGCACGTCTGGTTGGGGTGCAGTCGGAGAGCGGCCGCATGGAGGCCCGGGCCGTGCTGAGACTGCTCCTCAGACAGGACAACATGACCCCCGTCCTCTTCATGGACTCGGTGTACTACGCCTCTAACCTGGACTCCTCGTTAGAGCAGCAGGTAGATCGTGTGATGGCTGCAGCTGCCCCCCCCCCCCCCCCCCCCCCAGGGGGGCCCCTAAAAGGGGGCCAAACTTGGGGGCCCCCCCCCCGAAAGAAGTAAAAACCCAACTGGTTTTTTTTCCTTTTTCCGGGGCCGGAAAATGGCGGGGAAAAGGGGCCCCCCCTTCCCGGGCCACTGGGAATGCCCCCCTTTTGTTCC